GAAAGAGGGTACCTCCATAGTGGTCCCATTTAATTTTGAAGAAAATCTCCACCACCTCTAAGGGTGGATGGAATTTTTATAAATAGCGCCTAAATTTTTTTATAAGGAGCGATTATTTTAATGATTAATTTTGCTTTCTTCTATTCTATTCTCAAATTCCAGGCGTTTTTCTCTCAAATTACTTTGAGTAGTGAGAACATTGACGTACAATTATATGGATGTCGGGTCCGCGCTAAAAAGTGTCCGCACTTGTAAGGCGCTAAAATCGTATACAGAGCGCGACACTCCGCTTTAGTCTTCATTTGTTCGACTGACAGCGCGATACTGCGATGACATAACAATTTAAATTTCGAATAGGTTGACTTGGGACATTTTTTTCGTGGTTTTTGTATTAGACCCGTCGTCCATTTATTTGTAAGTCAATGAGTGAGAACCGATTTTTATTATCTCCTGTGTCAAGTTCCGTATAGTGGCGAACTAGGGGATGAATCCGGGTTTGCGCACTTTCCGTTGACCGATTTTAATAAAACTTGGCAAATAGATGTAATTCCACGTACTTTTGAGGTCGGTTTTTTAGTACTCTGTACTGAGATTATTTTTAAACTTATCTCTGAAAGACACACGGAGGTAATAAAAAGGCCTTGACGGCACGTTTTTGCAGGACAAAAATTCTTTTAATATTGCCAACGTTACCCCAAAGCAAAACGATTTAAAATACGTTCGTCAGATTAAGCTTTAAAAGTATTGAAGAGCTCATTGTATTACAAATCTCATATAATGTAAATATAATGTCTTAATGGCAGCTTCTGTAATGTATTGAACGAAAGTTCAAACAACAATTTCTTCAAATAACATTTATATAACTTTTTTTTAAATTAAAATACTAAGTGACGGGAGGAACAAGTCGTGCGCCTGATGGTAAGCGACAGGCCTATCCATAACAGTTGTAGTGTCACTCAGAGCTTGAAATCACGAAGATCTTAGAGAGATATAAGTTGGTAAGTCTTATGTGCCTGCCTTTTAACCAGCACCCTTACACTTCAAACTGGAACGCAGTAATGCTCACAATACTGCTTGGCGGTAGAAATAGGTAAGGTGGCAGTACTTCCCTGGACAAGGAAAGACATTCAAATTCTTTGACAGTTAAATCTGAGTGAGTAGTCTGAACGTACAGTCTGTCTACATGCTAGTACATAGCTATCTATGACTTAGATCTAACGTAAATAATTTTAGACTTGTTTACGCCCGTACGCGTAAAGGTAACCTATGACGTCGTTTGTGTATATGTTGTTGTATAGTATACGTATGCCAGGTACCTATATAAGTTTGTCACTGGATTTCGGGCTGTTTTTAACGCAATCGTATGGAGTTGAATTTAAATCTCAAGTGTTAAGATCCTGTACTTGACTTATAAAACATAGGCCATATTCCTTAAGGTACAGTATGCGAGCACCATTTTCGCCTCGGTAACTTTTGAAAACGACAAAAAACATGATGCGTCGCGACGCTTCGACTCTGCGCCACTTTGAGTTGAGTCTAAGTCAAACTTTTGTAAGCTAGTCCTGAACAATACACTCCTTATTCAAAAATATGAAAATTACTTTTGCCCTTTTACTTTTAAATATATTTGGAAAGAAGAAAATTGTTTGGATAACTGTAAAAAACTTTAACCTATCATAAATTTCAAAAATCTTTCATGGGAAGCGAGTACCTAATTAGCTTTTCATCGGTTTTGAAAAAATATACTTTTTGAGTTAGTGCACTATTGTATGAATATTGCGGAGAGTGCGATATTATGATTAAATCTTGTTTTTTTTAGTAAGATTCCGATTTCTTTTTTTAAGAAGATTAACATTTATTTAATCGAACGTAGCTAATTTATTTTAAAATAATTTACAATTTTTTACATTAAAGTTGCACATAAAAAGAATAAAACAGAAATACACAAAAATTACCGGATAAATTATAAGTCAAAAGGGTCTGTGGTTCTACCTAATAGGGTTATATGCTGCTCACTTACCCAAATAACCCTCGCCGTGGCTTTGTCAACAACACAGTCCTTACTCAAAAATATGAAAATTACTTTCGTCCAATTACTTTTAAATATATTTGGCAAGTAGAAAATTATTTGGATATTTGTAAAAAATGTCCTGTCCTAACCTGTCGCGTCGACAGGTTCTGGAGTGCGCGTGAGTGAGGGAATTGCACGATTTAATTCCGCCTTCGCCTTTCCCCATCGGGGGACTAGCCGTAGGCTGGGGTTCCACCCCTATGTAGTGGATATTCCAAGGATTCGCAAGAAGCATTACGCTTCCACGTTTATATGGCGAACGGCTATGGAGTGGAATTCCCTGACTGGGTAAAGGTCTAAAAATGTACAGCCTGGGGACACTGGGTGTTCGCTCTTAAACTTTTAACCAAAGACAATCTTTTCTTTAATTACACAATCGGGAAAATGGACGGCAGAAAAAATATGACAACACACAATTTTAAATGCGTGTAACAAAGTATGTATAATTTCACAGAGTCTGGCCAAACGTTAGGTATACAAGCATATCGAACGCATATACCGCTTCGCCTCTTATATGGCAAACTGCTGCGGAGTGGAAAGAAAATTCTTTTGTAGACTTGTTTTCTGAACGGTATAACTTGGGTCCTTTCAAGGCGAGAGTGAATAGGCATTATTTACCAAAGTCGACCTCATCGTCATTTTCCATGGGGTGAGATGGAATGGATATTTTTAATTAAAAAAAAGTATATAATTCGTCACGCGATCAAAAATCGGAAGGTTTTAAACGTGCCACTCAGGCACTGTAACTGTCATAACAGTTATTGCTGTCCACCAAATTGCGGTACACCTATTGCTGTCCACCAAATACAAGACTTGTTCGTCCGGCCCGGTGGTCCCGTCACTTGATACTCATAAAAAATGTGTGCTCACACTTGAAAACAATTATTAATTATGCGAACTCTAATGAATAACAAGGTACCGCACTGCGGGATTCTTATCTCAATTTGTTGCTGCCATTAGGGTCTTCATAGGTATTCAATATAATCAAATTACGATGAAAACTTGCGTTCATAGTCAAATTATGAGAAAAAATTGCTACGGCTGTAATAAA